AAAACATGGATCATTACTAATAGGTCTAATAATTTTATGCCAAACTAAATGATTTGAATCTTATAATTATATATATATATATATATATATATATATATATATATATATATTAATTAAACCAACACTTTGTATATTTAGAAGTGAAACTCTCGGTAAATACAAATAGAAGAGAATACCTAAATGTGAAAGACACAATCTGTCAAAATAAATATCAAACATCATTTTGAATAGTGAAATAGTCATTCATAAAAACCAAGAACCAAAAATGGCAACAACTAATAACATTATTGTGATGTACCTCACTATAGAGGTCCTGATGCAATAAAACTAAATATCATATATGGCTTACATATTAGAAGTGAAGATAAAAAATATTTATTTCAAGATTACATGACAGAACTGCATACCTAAGAAAGCTGATATTGTGCTAACATTGTTTCAGGTAATAGGAAATTTGGTCAAATGGCTAAATACAATATATAGAACAGTTGCATAAAATATAAATATATAAAAGTTATTTAGTTTTCTCTACATGAGCAACTAATCAGAAATGCCAATGACAAAAGCTTGATTAAATTATGCTTGATTAAACAGCTAAATATTATAAATGTATAATATAACAAATAATTCTATTTGGTAATAAAAATAATAAAGAGATAAATATAGTTCGTATAAAACTACACAAATTCTGAAACTTTTATCAGAAGTCTAAAATAAGAATTGATAAAAGAAGTTTACTGGAAATCTTCAAAGAATTGGATCCCTCTGAGGCCGTACATTCAGTATGATGACAATCTGAAATCCCAATGGGATTGTCCTGGAACTTTGCAAGAGCTCTTACAGGAGGACACATACATTTGGAAAAAGAATAGTAAGAGGTACATTTCTAAATCAGATGTTAAATGGAATATGAAAATGATAAAATAATGACACAACCATGAAAAAATATATATATATATATAATTTTAATTCTTTTTGTTGTCCCACTATTCTGTTCATACTAAATGCCACGTGTATGTGTGTGTGTGTGTGTGTGTGGCAATAGGCGGTCTGTCCTCAATGAGAAGAAACAATGGTTTAATCAATAAAGGAAGATGACAACTGGCTATTCACCTCTAGAAGGAAGTAAAATTAAGATTCTCATTTCAAATCTACAAAATACATCTAAAGTAAATTCTAGGCTTTTAAATACTTGACTTCAGCAAAATAAAACTTATGACATCTTTCAAAGGTATTGAAGATTATGTGGAGCCAGCCAACAGAAGAACAAAAGGCAGTGGAAGGGCATGACTTTTTAAACAAGACAATAAACCCAAAGAAAATAGTAAGAAAGAGAAGTCTAAATATTTGTCAGGGTCTTCATACCTACTGCAGAGGTTTTCTAGCAGCCCTAAGTGTCGGATAAACACTACGACTGCATACTAACATTTTTTGGCACATTAGTACTTTTTTATCTTGCATCATTCCATAACCTGCCGAGGTTGATCTACATTATCGACCACAGTATTTGCATTTGCACTGAATTATTCATAAATTTTATGAAATGTTCTAAAATGATATTGAAATTGCAGCAACCTGACCATCATGCACTCATGTTGGACCCTGAATTTATTACCTTCCAGTGGTAGAATAAGGTCTGCTTTCTAACATTTTAAGGACTACCTAAGGCAGGGAGAATTGCCTATGAACTCCTCTGGGACATGGACAATCTCAAAAACAAGCAACACCATCTTTCCACTCAAGATAATATATGCTTCCTGATAAAGCCCCTAAAGCATTGAATAAACATTGTCTGTTGGGGGAATCTGGTAATTCTTCAAGAGGCATTATTAGCTGGGTGTAGGAATACACCTATAACTCCAGCACTCTGAGAGTTGATGCAGGAGGGTCACAAATTTCAGCAGAGCCTGTGGGCAACTTAGTGACTTGACTTAGAGACTATGTCACCAAAAAAAAGGAAGGAGGGGGGATTTGAGCATGTAATTCAGTGTGAAAGTCCTGGGTTCAATCCTCATACCGAAAATGACAACAACAAACAAAAACAAAAGCATTACGAAGAATACTCAGAAGAAGCAACTGGAAAACAATCATTTTTACTTTCTTTTAGGTCTCTGATGTGAACTGAAGCGTATTCCTTGTAAGTACAGTACTTAAATGGTTCTATTTTCTAAGTAGTATTTTTAAAACTATTAAGAAAAAGTTGAAGAACAATGCATAGAAAATGGTCACTACATGCTAAGCATATGTTTATAAACTTCCACTTGGTGGTCTGTACAAAAAATTATTTTCAGATTTTTTCATTTTCGTGTTTGTTTGTTTGTTTGTTTGTGGAGGAAGCATCTCACTATGCATTCCAGGCTGGCCTTGAACTCAGTATGTAGCCCAAACTGGCTTCAAATTCACAACAATCCTTCTGACTCAGCCTCCTGACTGTTGGAATTACGAATATGCACTACTGGGCTTTTTCTCTGTTCTTAAGTATTCATATGGATAAATGCCAAAATTTTAGTCTTACATTTTAAAGGGAGGCATTTTCTCTAGTGTTTTAAAGAAACTGGAATGTCGAATTCAGAAAGTTGGCAAGCAAAGCTTATGCAACATCACAGAAAAAAACAAATCCTTTTCCCTGGATCTGTGTTTCATGTTTGCTTGTTCACAGAATCTCTCTGAGAAGAATTTAATCCACAATAACTACCTCTCCTGGCATATTTCAGGCCACCCATGAACTTAATTAGTTATCATAATTTACTGCGCACCTACCATGTGATTAGGTAATCTAGGTGTTGGCCACACCCAAGACATGGGAAATCTCAGACTACTGGGAGCTTATGCTTTATTTCTGATAGACTTGGCAAGTAGAAATGTTTCACTATTACTTGGCTCAGCTGACTATACAGTCTACTGGCTAAGTCAATTTAGATAGAGGATTTATTCAAAATGATACTATTAAGGACTAACTCTTGGGACCAACTCTGGAAAGGGTTTGATCTAAGAACCGTTCAGTGCACCACTAAAACATGGCAGTGTTGGGAATGGACTACTAGGGAGTCTTGTCACCTTTTTTATCTAACCTTTGAGACCCCTGGTCAGTGCAAACAGGAGGCAGGAAGGAGTTGCCATTCCAATGAATGACATCCCTCTATGGACCAACTGTTTGTCTTCTCTATGGTCTTTAAGACCTCTGCTTTCATCACAGTGGACAAGGTAGTTTGCACCATACAGTGTAATAGTGTGTCGTTTTAGGAACTGTGCACTACAAAGTGGATCCATGTTACAATTTATTAGATTTGTTACTAAAAAAACTAAGCATGCTCGGAAACGCATTCACATTATAAGAAACAACTGCTCCTTCAAGAATTTAACAAATAGGGAAACGATCAGTCCTAAAGTGATAATTATCTAAAATCTATAACTAGTTCATTCATCCGACTCATCCATTACAAAAAGCAGTAAGTTTTTGTTGTTGGTGGTGGTGTTTCTTCTGAAAGGCTTGGACTTCTCATCATTTTGAATTATATTTTTTAAAAAGTCAAATATAATTTCATTAAGAACCAAAAGTATCAGTTTTCTTTAAAAGTATATTTTCTACCTGGATAAGTATAAACATATGTTCATTGACAACTGTGTATTCTAGGGTGTTTTGTACATGTTTAAATAACACAGTTTAATTGGGAAATTTCCTATGCTACTTCAGAAACTGTATTACTTACATTAGAGATCACAAGGGAGTAACTGGCTTAGAAATCAGTTTATCACATTAAAATATGCATTTAATGTATGCTAATTTTATTTCAAAAGGCTCATATGAGAGTCTTATGCCTCAGCAGCCTGCGTATAGCACTGGGAGATATTCAGATTGGGAATGTTTTGCGTGTCTGGAAGCAGGACACACAATTACTGGGCTCTCTGCATTTCTTCACTTACGAAATTGCAGCTAATACTCATCTTCGGCATACAAAAATATGGTTTATACTAAAATGTGAGCTGATCAAAGCAATGTTAACATATTTTTCACCTCAAAGGCTTAAATAAAACTGAAGAAAATTTCCTTTTACGATAGACTTTGTGTGAAGATTTATACATTTCCGAGGATACTATTTGGTATGACAGAATAGTAGGTTTTTGAGTAAAGTTACGTAAAACAATCTACTATGCAGAGTTGGTCCTGGTTGGAACCTAAGGATACTTTCATGTTACATGAGGAGGCCATTAGAATTCAGAGTTTAAATGTCTTTCCCGAATGCAATTTGGTGGTGAGGAGCACCAACTAATTAAGCCTGGGTGACAAGACTGATTTTCTAGCTGCTGTCTTTTGTCCTGTCTTCTGGCATGTATTTATGTGTTCTGAGAAATGGGAAAATAATAACAAGTACGGAAGCTGAACCGGGTCTTCTAATGTTAACCCATGAATAATTATTATTCAGTGACACCTTTTGAGTAACTGCAACTTTGATCATCACAGAAGAATGAATAGCAATTTCAGAAAGGTATTAAAATATCTGAGCTCCTGTAATCTTAGCACGTGGGAAGCTGAGTAAAAATGTAAATTCAAGCTCGAACCCCAACAAGTTAACAATTTAGTAAGACTCTCTCCAAAAACAAAACAGAACATGAGAAAAGCATGAGGATGTAACTCAGTATACTTGATCCTCAGTGTGAGTTCACTGTTTAATTTTTTAATTTTTGAAAAATTGAGGGTGAAAAGAAAGAAAAGAAGAAAGAGAAAGAAGAAACAAACAAACAAACAAAGAAGGAAAGAAAGAAAAAAAAGAAAGACAAAACAAACACCTTGGTTGTGAGGTTGCTGGACAGGGACCAGTCCACTGCAGGAATTCATACAGTTTAGAATCTCAGGCCCTAGCACACCAGGGCCAGTTAGGGGTGGTGTAGGGAAGGCAGACAGCACGGAAGGAAGGGGTGCTAGGGAACCCCACCCTGCTCCTGGGCTCCCTAATTTGAGACGCCCTCAGCCCAGCAGACCTCTGCTGCAGCGCTCAGACCTGGGCGCCTCCGGGCCGACCTTGGCCTTGGCCGGGATCGCTGAGACCCAGGAGGTTTGGAAGCTGCCTGTACCTCGGACTCGGGTGTGCTTGCAGTCTGGGTCATCCCTCCGAAGTCTTCGCCGCCGGGAGCACTCCCCAGCTACTTCGCCCGGAAGTCGCGGGAGGGAAGCGACCTCGTCGCCTGGGCAACAGGGGTGGGGCCAGCATCCTGGGCCTGGAAACAGATTGGGGCCCCAAGCCTCTCCCCACCAGGGCGCTGGCTGGAGAGCCGCGCAGGCTCCGCAGGCTCCTGCAGGGACAGACTTGTTCCTTTCAGTGAGAGTGAAAGCTGGGAGGAAAAGGCGATTTAAATAGCAACTTTAAGGAACCAGTATGTCTGAAAGCACCTAATGCTTGCGCACTGCAAGTTCTTTCTTTCTTTTGCAAGTTCTTAATAAATACTAGAGCAAGATAAATTATTAGAATTTTGACCATTGGTAGATATTTGATCTTAAGTAATTTTTATTATATTTTAAAGTTCCATGATAGTATTGTGGTCATGCTTAAAAGGATATGTACACCCAAAGGTTTAGGGTTGATGAAATGTTATGCAGTCTGTGTTTTACTCAAAGATAATGCGAGAGGCGTATGTGAAACATATAGAAGTGTAGTGAATAAATCAATTATGAATATGATGCCGAGGGAAGTGGGCTGAGAGTTGTTGAGTACATTATTCTTTCTACGATTACATGTATTTGACCATTTCCGTAACAACGTCTCTTAAAAACAAGATACATTTCCTAGAAGTCTGAATCTTCTGGCTTTTCCAGATGATCCATACCTATTTGAAAATGGGATGTATTTTGTTTGAATTTTCATACGTAGAGATTGATATGCCTGTCACAATCAGATATTTTTAAATGCTTCTGTTTCTCCATCTGTAAAATGATATAATGCTATTGGCTTGGAAGCCTCATGCGGAGAATACAGCAGTATATTATGTTTGGAAATGTTTAGATCAATCCTGGTTGCTAGTAGTGGTCTGTGCATGCTTGTCAGGTTTAGGATCAGTGTTGTGTTTCCCCTGACTTCTTAACTTGTGTACAGCTGCCAAAGTACTGTTTCTTTTCTGATAGCATTTAGTCAGACCAAATTTAACAGGTTAGCTTTACATAGCCTCATAAGTAAGCCTTTCTTTCAAATGACCTCACAGTTCAAATTATTGTATCTCATTTGTGCCATCTCTAGTTTGGCTTTGTACTTTCCCTTTCTTGATATTATTTTCAGTCTTGAAGAACCTAGTTCATTTTGCATTAAGAAGTATCAACCTGTGTGTTTATGATTTTCCCATTTTACAAAGACTATATTAGAATTTCATCAATTATTGAAAATATGATCAATATATAGTGATTGCTAGAGTTAATGCTGGAGTCACTACCTGTCTTGGTTACTTTTTGTTCTTTGCCAAGACAAAAATACCCAAAATTGAAAGAAGGAAAGATTTATTTATGTAGCTCCCAACCTCCAGTTTCTGGAGGTTTCAGTCAATAATCAGCAGGCTCCAAGGTAGAGTGGCATGGCACAGGGGCACCAGTTCAAGGCTGCAGATTATAGCAAACGCAGAAAGAACAAAAAGGGTAGGGGAACAGGAAGATTCTTTTCCTCTCCCAAGGTGGCTAAAGCATACACAGCCTCTCTGTGCCCATCTCTAGCACAGGTTGAGGATATTTACAAAGGACAGACCCTGGAACCCTGCTGAATCCCTTCTAAACTTCTCAAATAATGTATCAACCGTAACAATCCACCCCTTGTCAACTTGGAAATAAGACATTTCTTTAAATAGGTTTCTGGGTACAAAGACATGGTTATTCTTATCATTTCACATCTTGAACCTTATAACACAGGTTTAATAATCCTTAAGAACCAGTATTATGTCTATCAACATTATATTACTTTAGCACCGTAACATTTTGTCCCTGGCCCCCCAAAGACTCATGCATATCCCTTTATGCACAAGGGATTTTTAGTCCATCTGCAAGAGTTGCTGAAGTTCTAACCATTTCAGCATCGCTAAAGAGTCCAAGTCCCATGTCTCCTCTGAGATATAAGGCAAACTCTGAGCTGCAAGCCCACATATAAATGAAAACAAAGTTAGACACTTCCAACATTCAATGGCATAAGATAAATATTTTCATTCCAAACATTACAAACAGCAGAATACAAAGGATTGGGACCAAAGCAAGTCCAAAATCTAGCACGACAAACATTAATCCTATAGTTCCAGCATCTAAAGCAATCTGTGACAACTTCTGAACTCTAAAGGTCTATGTGATTCAACCCCCATGGCACTTCTGATGGTTGGGCTGGCTTTGCTCCCTCCTTGTGCATTTCATTAGATGATCTACCTTCCTGACTTTTCCAAACTTCTGTGGTCTTCACTTCCTTCTGAAAGTCTTCGCACTTTTGGCTTCACACTCACAGCTTAGCACACTTTCCTCTCAGGGACACACTGCTTGGCCTCCCAAGCCTTCTGAAATTGGGATGGAAGCCATCTTAAACCCATAAATCTTGCATTCTACATACACCTAAAAACAGTGCCAAAAGTGGATGGTGTCAAAATCTGCTACTATATGGAGCAGTGGCCAGGCTTTCCTCTCTCTTGGCTGTAGGGGTCAAGGGTGTGGATTGATAAGCACTCTGAATCTAATTTTGAGGAACAAATTTTCTGTGCTTTCACCATTCTGAAACTCAGTGCAGCCACCACCATTCTAGAACATGTTGCTCTGAAGTTATCTCTTCAAAGTGAAGTCTTTAGCGCTTGTAATTTTGAAGCTACAAAGGGTAGAGACTTGCTGCTTTTGGTGATGCCTCCACACCATCTTTTATATTCTCTTGTAACTCTTCAGCTATAGAGAGCTCCTCAGCTATATCTTTGTGGTCTGCAACTTTATTGCAGCTTCCTTTCTGACCAAACTCACAATGTTATAAATCATCCTGCTGGGATCTTTGCTCTTGATTTGAAACATAAATCTGGCTAAAAGTCACCAACAATAGCTATGCCCCCAAGATTCAACGGCCTTGAAATTTCTTCTGCCAGATTAATTAGTCCACTGCCCTTAATTTTAGTCTCAGGCAGTATCTGGATGTGAGCAAAATACAAACTTTTTTGCCAAGCCATAGCATACATCATCTGAGATCCAGCACCCTATACAGTCCTTTCCAGCAGAAACTTCCCAAGCCTGGCCTTTACCAGCAGAATTTCTGTCGGGTTTCTGGATTTCTGAGCTCTGACTGGGATCTCCCATATAGAACAGCCTAAGATATTCTAGCTCTATGCTTTCAGGAAACATCTCCAAATCTTTCCAAACTCTTCCCAGGAGCCATTCCCTAAGGCTCGTGAACTACATCGTCAGATACAGTCACAGCAATGACCTTACTTCTCTGGTACCAAGTTCTTTTACTTTCTTCCTTATTGCTGAGACAAAATATATCACACCCAAAATGAAAGGAAGAAAGCTTTATTTAGCTCTCAGTTTGTGGAGGTTTCAGTCCATAATCAACTGGCTCCAAGGCAGGGTGGCAAGGCACAGTGGCAATACTTCAAGGTGCTGGAGTATAGCAAAGACAGAAAGAGCAAAAAATTCTCTTTATCAGTCATGACACCATCTTATACATTTGTGATGCTCACTTTTTCCATACTTCGCTTTTGATCCCTATTCCAATTGAAAGTAGCTGCTCACTTAACATTCTTTAAATTTTGTGTTTGTTAAAGTACTGAGAGATTTATTTCTTCTAACAGATTCTAGTTTTCTCAAAGATTGATTTATTTTTCTGCCTTTTAATTGTCCTTTTCTTTGACAGTTTAAGATTTTCAGTACCCCTTTTGGTTTTTGCCCCAGAAGTAGATGGGCTGGTCCATTAAATATGGAATCCATTCTGGGGCTGGGGATGTAGCTCAGCGGCATAAGTGCCTGCCTTGCAAGCAGGCAGTCGTGAGTTCGATCCCTGGTACCAATAAAAATGAAAAAGACAAAAAAAATATATGAAATCTATTCTATCAATATCAGGAAGGTTACACCAAGAACCAAGGGGTTGTTTTGTAGGAATTCCAGTTTTACTCTATTATATTTAATGTTGTAACTTATTAAAGAAGTTAGTATTCAGGAAGCAGTTTAATTTATGGGGTAGAAATAATTTGCTTGCTAGGAGTGGTATTGAAAATTCACTAGTCTGAAGATTATTTTTAGTTTGCACAAGTTAGAGCTGATTTTGGCCTCCCACTTCTTTTTCAGAGTCATGCCAACAGCAGGTGCCATGCTTTCTTACAGGAAAGATCAGATATGTCTTCCTTCTGCTCTCTTTGAAGATAAAGACTGAAATCAAAGCTTGGAAAGTTTACTTGTTATCTTATTGTTTACTGTTTTAGGGCTGGAAAATAAGGAAACACATGAGACCTGTAGTTATATTTATTTTTTAAACAGACCTCTGACTTTTACCACATCAGAAAATATGACTCTTGATATTATTATTTGATCTATTTGGGTTAATGTCTGTTGTAATGAAAGAACTCTAATATACACACCTGCAAAACTATGATCACCTCAACATTTAACAACTAGAAATAGGTTTTCTTGAAGAACAGTAGTTTCATAATTGTATGAATTTGATAGGATAAGGCATATTTGGGGGTACCTGGAGTTGAACTCATGACCTTGTGCTAACCAGGCAGGTGCTATGCTACTATGGTATATCCACCTCCCCTGGCTAAAGCATAATTTAAATACAAGAGAAATGAGTAGAAAAGACATAAAATGAGTTTTGGTCAGGAACAACAATAAGTGTCAAATGATGAATATTCAGCTGTCTTCTTAGGATGGGCAAAAATTTCTACTTTTCATGATTTTTATATCTAGTTCATCTTAGTACTAATAGTGAGCACTAATGATGAGTATTCAGCTGCCTTATGATGGGTAAAAATTTCTACTTTTATGATTTTTATATCACTAGTTTTTTTTAAGTATTAATGAAACTCATCACTAGTAAATGAAATAAAGTTTCTAATATGGTTAATACCATACTGGCAGTTCAAACGTGGTGAATCCTGAGATCCTGAATCTATAAGTGTCCCTCATGACAGTTTTAAAGATTTAGGCTGGAAAAATTGTGATTTGTCTTTTAAGTGATAGTGGGAGAACACAGAATTCTGCAGATGAAGCTTATATAACACATTGTACCTATCCTTTAATCATAGTAGAATTATAGATGCAAAAAGAAGAAATACAAAAAAGGGATAAAA